TATATAGCATGGAAGACGTTGTCTCCACCAACTTTGGAAATACAATCGGCTACACAACATGAAGCAAATTAGTGATTCCAACTCTTTCTGTGTCCAGATGTAGATGAATGTTCTCAAAACCCCCAACCATGTGGTGCCAACTCAGTCTGCAAAAACCTGCAGGGGAGATACAAGTGCAGCTGCTTGCCTGGTTTCTCTTCTCCCACTGGAAATGACTGGACGTCGGGAAAGCCAGGTCATTTCTCATGCACAGGTAATGCTCTCAGGCATGGGTCTTGGGTGGACAGCGACCACTGGTGGGCAGTGTCTCTCACCTGAGCCACAGTCTTTGGTCTGCTCACTCTCCTCCACTGCTCCTCAGACATCGATGAATGCCTCTCCGATGGGGTCTGTCCAGAGTATGCTGAGTGTATCAACTCCTTGGGAAGCTACAATTGCAGCTGCCAGGTTGGATTCATCTCTCACAACTCGATCTGTGAAGGTATAGAAGACCTGCTTTTCTTTATGTAGCTACTCAATTAATTAACAACCACCTCACTTGATGATCCTGTGAGGTTAGAGACTGTATTCTTCATTTTGGGGGTGAGAAAATTTAGGCTCAGACCATTGAAGTGACTTCCCCCAAAATATGCAGCTATTAAGTAGAAGAGCCAGGATTGGAACTTCAGTCAAGGGTCTAGTCTGAGTGCAGCAGTGGGTCAGACAATACTTGAGAGCAATGGCGGGGGGGGGGTGGTGCTGTGTCCCATGAGCAATAACTTTCAAGGGGGATGCGGGCAATGCCTGGAAACATTTTTGATTGTCACAACTGGTGGTGGTGACGGGCTCCTCTTGTCTAGTGAGGAGAGGCCGCAGATGCTGCTAAACACCTTACAATGCACAGAACAGCTTCCCGCCAACCAAAAATAATCTGGCCCCAAATGTCTTTAGTTCTGAGACAGAGAAACTGCGTGATAGGGTGAGCTCAGGCTCAAACTTCAGAACTATTTCCTATAATGTATTTGGTTCAAGACCTCAGGGTTACCCTCAACCCCTACCCCATGCCTTCCATACTAAATCAGTCACCATAGCTTGGGGAATTTACCTGCTAAATATGTCTTGAATCTCTCCATTCTTCCTCATGCTTGGTTCGGGCTTCATCATTAGTTTAGCAGCGTCCTCCCTGGGCTTGTCCTTCCTCCATTCTTGTCCCCTCGAATCCATCCTTCCAAACTGCAGCCAGAATTTGCTCACAAGAAGCAAGGGCTCCATCTCCCTGCATCTGGTTCAGAACTATTGTTCTCCATGCTCGTTTGTAGGGAAGGTGACTCCATCAAGCAAGGCATGGAGTGATCCAGCCCTTATCACATCCCCTGGGCTTGGAGTCAGAGATATTTGAGGTCCTCTCTGATTTTTCTGATACATTTGTAGCAGTAGCTATTGCTGAAAAACAGATCACCCTGAAAGTCAGTGGCTAGAGACAAGCACCATATACGTGGTTTGTGTTCTGTGCATTGGAAATTTAGGTTGGGCTCTGCTGGTCACTTGCTTGCGTCTGTACTGGGCTTGTTCGTGTGTCTGTGGTCAGCTGTGAGTCAGCTTGCTCATCTCGGCTGGGCTGCCTCACGTGTCGGGGGCTCCTGTGGGATGATCCATCTCTCTTCCACCTTGTCTCTCATTCTTCATTAGGTGAGTCTAGGGCTTGTTCATGTGGCAGAAGCAAGGGGCTGAAAGAATGAGCAGAAGCAAATAAGTCTCTAGAAATCTAAGACTTGGAACTGGCACGACATCATTTCTGCTGTGTTCTTTTGGCCAGGGAAAGTCACAGGCCAGATTCAAGCTGGATTCGAGGTGTGGCGAAACAAGCTCCCATTATAGAGGAGGCGTGGCAAAGTCACACTGCACCACGCCATCTGCATCCCATGGTGTGGGTGCAGGGAGGAGTAAAGGAGCACAGCCATTCTATGTTCATCTGCCTTGGAGCTATTCACCGCCCTCCACTTACATATATTGGGTCAGAATTTATTCTCGTGGCCAAGCTTCAGTGTAAGGGAGATGAGGAGAAAGGGGAGAACATACACAGTGAATCTCTGTTTGCAGTCTCCTATTCTCATTTCTGCATCTGCTTTGTCTTGGGTTTTCACCTCCACTGACCAGACGTGGATGAATGTGCCGACCCCGCAACTTGCCCGGAGCACGCAACTTGTCACAACAGTCCTGGAAGCTACTCTTGTGTCTGCAACCTAGGATTTGAACCCAGCAGTGGAAACATGAGCTTGCAGGGCCCAGGAGACACATGTGAAGGTCGGTGGGAAGGGTTTGTTGGGGAACCAGGTCCAAGTCTGCATGCAAAGACAGCAGTCGTGGGTGAGGGGTCAGGATGAGTCTGGGCTGAGCTCAAGGACCTCATCGGCTAAGCTGATGCCAAAAATTGCTCATCCATTCACTCATGCACTCATTCAACAAATACTTCCTGAGCACCTACTCTATGCCAGGCACTCTTCTAGAGCTGGTGGATGCAGCACCAAATCAAATAGGCAAAACGATTTGTTCTCCTAGAACTCATCATCTAGGGTTAAGGGAGATAGATAGCAAAATAAATGCATGGCCATATGTGTGCCAGGAGTATCTGAAAGAAATAAAGGTAAATAAGGCAGGAAAGGTGCATAGGCAGCGCTGGGAGTAGGGGTCAACTTTTAGTAGAGTGAGTGGTAAGGAAAGGCCACACTGAAAAGCTGATATTTGAGAAAAGATGTGAAGGATATGAGGGAGTGAGATATTGGGTATCTGGGGAAGGGTGTTCCAGGAGGAGGGAACCACAGATACAAAGGGCTGGAGGCAGGATCCCAGCCAATGTGCTAAGCTCTTCCGGACATGTACTCATTGTCTGCCCAACACCCTGATGGTGTTAGTGGTGTTTTATGCCCATTTCATAGATGAGGAACCTGAGCCTCCATCGTGGTAAAACAACTCTTCCACGGTCAAATAGCTAGGAAGTAGGGGAGTCAGGATCTGAACTGGCCATCATTGACTTGAGTCCAAATTTCCAGACTCTGACTCAAGACCACCTGGGAATCTGTCACCTAAGAAGCCCAGAACCAGACTGAACCTGATTTTGAATCCTGGTGTGCCTTTCACAGGCTGTGTGACTCTGCACAATTGTGATGCCTCAGTTTTCTCATCAGAAAAATGGAAGTAATGTTAGTGTGCACCTCACAGGGCTGCCGTGAGCATTCCTCGAGCAGGTGCATGTAAGGGATGTTCCTCAGTGTCTGTCACAAAAATGTCAACATGTTAGCAGTTAATTGTTTATTTTAGCTAACAAGTACTTACCTCATACTTGTTATTCTCCAGACTCTGCTCTGAGTCCTTCCCAGATGACACCTTATTCAATGCTCAAACAACCCTATGGGGGAAGTACTATTATTATCCCCGTCTGACAGATGAGGGCACTGAGACACACAGAGGTGAACTATCTTGCCCAGTGCATTGTCAGCTCAGGGCCACCAGAACAAAACACTGCAGACAGGGTGGTTTCAACATAGAGATCTATTTTCCCTCCATTGTGGAGGCTGGAAGTCTGAGACCACAGCTGGGTTCTGGAGAGGGCTGTCTTCCTTGCTTCCAGATGACTGCCTTCATTCTGGGGTCATGGACAGTGAGTTCTGATTTCTCTCCCTGTTTTTATGGGTACTAATCCCATCTTTTTTAAAGTTTATTTAGTTGTTTTTGAGAGAAAGAGAGAGAGATCTCACAGTAGGAGCAGAGGGGGAGAGAGAGAGGAAGAGAGCGGGAGAGGGAGAAGGAGAGAGAGAGAGAGAGAGAGAGAGAGAGAGAGAGAGAATCCCAGGCAGGCTCCGCACTGCGTATACAGAGCCAGATGCAGGGTTCAAACTCACCAGCTGTGAGATCATGACCTGAACAGAAACCCAGAGTTGTATGCTTAATTGACTGAGCCACCCAGGTGCTCCAGGGCACTAATCCCATCTTAAGACCTCATCAACCTAATCATCTTGTGAACGCCTTTTGTCCAGATACCGTCTCTCCGAGTGTTGGGGATGTAACATATCAATCTGGGGGCACATATTTCAGTCCACAGCACCCAGTAACACACAGTCTATAGGGACAGAGCCAAGCTTTGAGCCCAGGCTGTCCATGCTTTGCACCCCTCCACTTGGATGCCTCTCAGTCATTATTATTATTACTGATAACATAGTATTTGTTAGAGGGAGGAATTGAGATATCAAGGAACGGGGTCCAGGGAGTTCAAGGCTGAGGGAGCAAACAGTGAGCCTTCCTGGACCTACAGGTAATCAGTGAATCTGGATCAGGAATTACTAAGGGGTTAGCAAGGAAAGATGAGGTAGGTGAGCTTAGGTGGGTCCAAACTCTCAGAGTCTTATGTGTTCTAAAGAGGAGTTTGGGTTTTATCCCGAAGTGTGGAGAGCCTCATCAAGAGATTTGTGTGGGTCACATCCTGGCTGTCTGCACTTCCTTTCAGCAGTGTTTAAGAGGGTGCAAGCAGAGCCAGGGAGACTGGTTGGCTTTAGTCAGGATGGGGTTGTGCCGTGCCATGGCCTCAGCATCCTTTATCCATTTGACTCAGCCTAGTTTTCTGCTTAGATGTGGACGAATGTGCCAGGAACTCAACTCTTTGTGGCCTCAGCTCAGTGTGTACCAACACCCCGGGGGAATACCACTGCTCCTGCCTGCCTGGGTTCTTTTCACCTGTCGATTGGACCCTTGAGGAACCAGAGGATTTCAGATGTACAGGTAATGCTCCCAGCCATGCTGAGGACTTTTCATGGATGTCAACGTACCCTGAAGAGAGTGGCTTACAAACAACCCTTTCTGCTTGCTCATGATCCTGTGGGTTGACTGCATGGTTTTTGAAGGTGGGGGTGGGCACTAAGGTGGCACGAGGTCTAAAATGGCCTCACTTATATGGCTTGTAGTTGGTGCCTGGCTCTGCGTGGGAGCTCAGATAGGCCCTTCAGTTTTCCTCATGGGCCTGTCCACCCCAAAATTTTGGATGGTTACTACTGCACTTGCAATCGAGGCTTTCTGGCCAACAATGGACCGATGCAGTTCAGGAACCCAGGAGTGACATGAAAAGTTGAGTACGCACCCCCTCAAAACCCTCCGCCATTTTGTAGGATAATCAGGTGGAAGCTGGCTGGGCAGTGGATGTAGGTACTTTTTTTTGTCCCAAACGTTATTTTCTCTCCCTCTCCTTCCCTGCCCTCTTTTCATTCTTTTTCCATAGTGACAATGATTCCTGTTCACTCAAAATTCTAACCATTTGGAGCTGACATTTAGATGAAAATAGAAGTGAAAATCAATATCCAGAGATAAACCACTGATTTCATTTTGGGAAATCTTTTGGTTGTCTCTCCATGAAGGAAACAAGAACTTTTAACATTCGCTGAGCACCAGGCCCCCAATGAAGGGATTTATGTGCATTTTTACATTAAATTGAGTGTAGGCATCCTGATGAACTCCACTGTACAGATGAGGACACTGAGGCTTGGAGTGCTGGAATGACCTGTTCACGGCTGTGTGGTTGGACTAGCCTCCAAACCCAGTCTTTCCAACTCTCACAGCAGTTTCTGAACCAAGTCAACTCTTTGCCACACTCTAGTTGTGCGGTGTTGGGGAAACGTATTTACCCTCTCTAGGCCTCAATGTTTCCATCTGCAGATTGAGCGTATAAGAGTACCGACCTCCAAGGATAGCTGGGAAAATTAAGTGCAATGAAGTACGTAGTGTGCTAGGCACATGTATGCTCCCAAGAGCCACTACTTACATATGTAATGTAAATTGAAATAATCCCCAGAATGAGCGACATTCTGTGTATGTATTTCTGTGTGTTTATATCCCAATTCTCCCCTTGACAGTCAAGATCTGATTGTACCTCTGCCTAAGACCAGGCATCATTGAACTTCTTAATGCAAAGGGCCAAATAGTAAATATTTTGGAGGTTGCAAGCTGTGTGATCTCTGTCATGACCACTCAATACTCCAGTTGTAGTGCGAAAGCAGTCAAAGATGATACACAAATGATTGGATGTGTTTGTTCCAATGAAACTTTATTTATACCAACACGTGGTGGGCTGGATTTAGCCCATGAGCTCTGGTTCGCTGGGTTCTGAATAAGGTTATTCGTTTCTATTGTTATGGTATCCAGGGAGCCACTAATTTGCTTCATCTTGTGTAGCAGATTGTATTTCCAAAGTTGGTGGAGACAACGTCTTCCATGCTATATA